GAAGAAGTGGCTGTAGTCCACGAAAGCTTATGCTCTAATAAATTTGTTAGTCTCTAAGGTGCCACAAGTACTCCTGTTCTTCTTTTTGCTGATACAGACTAACACGGCTGCTACTCTGAAACCTGAGAACCCATAGTTATAAAGTCTTAGGATTTTGTTCGCCGGAACAGAAGCTTTAGTCCCTCAAGAGGTTCAGCTTTCCAGGTATCATCTGCTTCTGGCTCTTCCGGGTCGCGGTGGGAAGAGCTGGCGGTGCTCCCTCGAGGTCCGAAGTCGTCTGCTTCTGGCCCCGTCCTAGGGGCTAGCTTGACTCAGGTGTGGTGTATCCAAGTGTCTCGCTCTTTCACTCGAATAGCAGTGTGAGAGGTAAGAAGGACTTGGAAAGGGCCCGCCCACCGGGGTTGGAGAGGCTTGTGTTCTCACTCTTTCACATAGACCCAGTCTCCTGGAGTGATCCGGTGGGCAGGAACATTAGCGAGTAGGGACTGAAATTGAATTGGTAAGCGTGGCCCCAGCTGTCCTTATCTAGAGAAATACTAAAAAAAAAAAAAGCATTACACAAGTCTATTACTGAATAACAAGCCGTACTTGCTGGAATGGCAGTTAGGATTGTGTGAGGGTTTGGCACCACATTGTGTCTAGCTTGAACAACCTTATTTACTGCATGTAAGTCCTGGACAAATCAGTATACTGGTTTTCCCTCTGAGTCCATGTCAGGTTTTTTGACTGGCAGAATGGGAGTATTGAAAGGAGACTTGGTGTGAACCAGCACTCCCAACCGCAGGAATGTGGTGATAAGACTCCGGAGGCCAAGCAGAGCTTCTTGGGGGATGGGATACTGACGAATCCGAGGAATTTTAATGCCTGGCTTCAGGGTTATATGCACTGGCTCTGTCTGGAGAGTACCCAAGTCTGCCCTTGAAGTGGCCCACAGGGAGATGTTTACCTCCTGTCTGAGTCGCTCAGGTAGGATCGGGTCCGCAGACAGGATCGGGTCCTTTGAAACTTGGGTTAGAACAGCACACGGCTGGGGAAGTTGGGTTTCAGGCAACCGAAGAATGATTTTGTCATCTGAAAAGAAAATCTGAGCACGCAGTTTACACAACAGATTTCTGCCTAAGAGGTTAACTGGGGAATCCGGGGCTAGCAGAAAGGCATGGGAGGTGGAGACACCAGAGATTTCTACAGCAGCCTCATGTAATACAGAACAGTCAAATGGCACCCCCATTACCGGAATGCTCTTATCTGTAAGGCTTCCTCTCTCCGGCTTGGCAGTAACAGTAGAAAGTGCAGCCCCTGAATCCAAAAGACAAGAATAGGCGGTTCCTCCCAATGTTAGGCGAACCTGGGGGTCTGTGAAGGAACAAACATAAGTGGTAAAATCATTTGAATAGGTGACAAGAGGATCCCCCCCCCCCCGGTTCGCCGTCATTCCTCATTAGCAACAGCGTCTGTTCTTGTTACAGCCATCTGTTGTTGAGGTTGGTCTGGGCGACGGGGTTGTCGTCCGGTAGGTTGGTTTGGACACTCTCTCTTCCAGTGGCCAAGCTGCTTACAGTAGTTACATATGTCATTGGCGTGTTTCGGGGTCCCCCCATAATCCGATTTTGGTTGCCACTTGGGGGGTCCCTGCCGCCCTCCCTGTTTTTCATTTCCAGTGTTTACAAGGGCTGCTAGCATCCTCACCTGTTTGGTCTCTTGAACTTTTTCCCTTGTATGATATACTCGGGTGGCCACGCTTACCAGTTTCTCCAGGGATTTTCCTTCAGCACCCTCGAGCTGCTGCAACCGCTTCTTGATGTCGGGGCTGACTGGGAAATAAAAATAAGACTGACTGTGAACTGTGTCAGTGGCCTTGGGACCTGCATTGTGGCGTCCTCAATCTTTGTTGGTAATATCTGTCTCGGTAGACCTGCTATCCTGGGCTCCGTTGAAGAGGGTACCGGGTCCACTGCAATTGGTAATGCTGCCGCCGGGGGTGGGCGTGGTCTAGAGCAATACATGGGGGGGATATCCTCCAAATAATCAGCCTCGTGAGGGGCAGAAGCTTTCAGGAATAGAGGGGCCTGAATCTGTACCTTCTTCATGCGACGATGAGCCTCATCGTCCCACAAAAACCAATAGTCCATTTGCCCCGGCGCTTGGTTTTCCAATGTCAGGCGTAAGGGGGTTAAATGGGTAGGAATATCAAAGGAGCCATACTCGGGCCATGCAGTCCCCAGGGCTGGCCAATCCTGGGTGCAAAGTTGTAAAAAACGCTTCCTTGACATCCCTTTTTGAACACCGGGTAAGGGCCATTTGCTTAACATATAATCCAAAGGGCTATCCTTTGAGGGTTTTACCAGAGACCCACCCATCTGCCTGCTGACACTCTTAAAATAGAATTACACAGAGAACAGAGGGAATTATGGCCTAATAGGATCCTATTACAGGAATTTCTACTCATACTGACCGCTACAGGGGACGGGACAGAAGGATCCCAATTCGACCTCAGAGCTTCATCGCACGCGATGGCTTCCACTCTGAGGAATTACGAATGAGAGGCTCAGTTCTGTCAACACACCTAACGCCCAATGTATAAGACAGAAATTCATTAACCGGTTAACCAGACCAGAACCAGATAGTGTCTCCTTATCCTATTAGGACTCACTTTATCGGAGCACGAACCCCAGGGGCTGCAGTGAAGCAGTGAAAAGGGGCGAAACACCCCGTTGGTGCCGTTCCCAGTTCGCCGCAGCCGTCCGGAGTCCAATGTCCGGGCTAGGAGAGTCCCGGCGGAGTCGCCAGTAATTGTCACCGAAATATCAAGTCCACCTAGCTGAGAGCCAATAACAGCCAGACAGGGATAAGGAAGAGTTGCTTTATTCTGCAGAAGAAAGGAGAGTCTTGCACCTTGGTACAAAGACTCGGTCTTACACACATTTTACAGATTCTTTATACACATTCAGACCAAGGTCCTTGCAGTGTTAACACTTGATTGGTGCTTGTCAGACCCATGCTTTTGCTATCTGGTCAGTGAAAACCGGCTTGGGACCAGCTCCAACTACCTTAAGGCCTTGAAGGGAAAACAGTTGAAAAGTTCAGGCTACCGTGTCCTTAAGGTGTCTGCTTCCCCCCTAACGGCCCTAATGGCCGCTGACTGACATAAA